ACAGTATTTATTGATAAAACCATTAAAAACTAATAAGCTAATTAGTTTTTAATATTTTTAATGGTTTTATCAATAAATACTGTTCCGTCATTTATTTTTTTTAGCCAGTTTACCCTGAAGATGAAAGGTAGGTTTGCCTGGCTCACCTGGATTTATTCGTGTTTATCGTTCTATTTAGCGTATTGAGCACTCTATTGCTTTAGTCTTTCTACTCGTTCCTGTTCTTTTCTTCTTTGGATTAAGGACTAAAAGCACTTGGCGATTTGTTTCGTCTTCTTCTGATGTTTTTAGTTCTTTCTTTTTTTATTTCCAATTTTTTTCCCTCGGGTACCGATTTGTCCTGAAATTGAGCTATCTGAGTTTTTTCCAAACGAGTACTACTATTAATATATATATATATATATATATATATATATATATATATATATATATATATATATATATATTCACTTACGTGCTAATACGCTTAGGAAAGTTATTAATCCACTTCATCTGCCTCCATCTATGGGTAAATAGCAAGACAGTCTAGGTTCTAATCCGCTATCCATTCACAAGAACCAGATCAGGCCTAAAATAGAATATATTTGGGCAGGAGCAGTCTAGTCTTTACTTTCTGGTCTCGATAGAATCTAAAAAACATTTCCACATCCACCGCTTCTAACCACCACGGCTAGGACCCGCCATTCTACGCACATTATAGCCGACCACCGTCATTCGCTCCATTGGTGAGAATAAGTATCACCCGAGAAGCTTCTTCCTACGAACCACTGCTCTGTGTAACCGACTCCCCAGGGGATTTTTTTTCCGATCACAATAATGTTAACCTGTTTAAATCTAGGATTAACTATTATCTTCCCCATATATCCACATAAACTGTGTCTCTTACTATGTAATCCTCTACCTCGAAATGCTCCCGGGCGTTGTACAGGGTTCAGCATTCACTGCCATATCGGAGGACCGATATCTCATAACTGTTTAGTAATCTTTTCTTTGTTTCTAAGGATTTTTTTCATTTAGTTACTTTGAGCTTTGAAAAAAATGTAACGTCATAAAACGAAAAATCACGTTAGTCTGAATAAATAAAAAAAAACAGAAATTATGTTGTTTCTTTGTGTAACAAAACTCATTAGGGGCATAAAATTCAGATAGAAACGATAACAGAATTGGTATTTTCTTGCATTTTTAAACTGACGGTAAAATTTAAGTCTGTTAGCTATTATCTGCCACCTTTAATAGTTTTTAGGATGTCGCCCTTGTTGCTTTTCTTAAAATATCTCAATTGAAACAATTTCTAGCAAGTGTTCCTCATATTTGCATTTAAGGAACTTCAATCACTTATTTCACTCGCAGACACATAAAATCCAAAAGTCATTAATCAGGATTTAACCCGGCATCAATAGGCCAACTTATTCTTCCTTTAAGAAGCTTACAGCTACATCACGCTGAAACCAATCAAGTTAAGCACCGTCGATCCTGGTCAGTACATTGACGGGTGACCGCTTGTGAATATCAGGTGCTGTGAGCTTGGATGTGCAGGTGGTGTAATGGATAATGATTCGCAATTGTTAATCGGAGAGCCGAGTTCCAATTCCAGTCAGGTTCGTTATATTAACTTACCCTAGGGAAAGATATGAAGCCGTCGGATCTCCCTACCAGCTATAGGTTGATTAGTATGATACTAAAAAATTATTATACCCACCCCAACGAATTCTTACATTCTAAAATTATATTCTGGCTTTAAATAACCTGCAAATGGTTGATAAACCGTCAAAAACAAATTAATCAACCTTCTTTTATGCAAGTGTCAGTGGTTTCTATTAATATTTTAGAGGACTTTAATTACTATTCCATTGAAGTACCAATCTGAGGGATTCATCGATTTTGTACGGTTTATCAACCCTTTGTGGATTATTAAAAGCCGAAACATATTTTTTATTGTGAGGATAGAACCTTTTTTTTTTTTTTTTTTTTTTGCAAGTGAATATTGCACTAAAAATCCTTTTGAGAATAACAATGATTCTTTCCGATCCAAGGCCTACTATTTAACCCATACCTGGGGGAGAAGATGGAGTTATAACATTCCCAAGCGTATAAGTGAATGTAACGGATTTCGAACTGAAATTCGAAATTCGGCTCTCCGATTTCTTATTCCGAGCCGTTATCCGCCATTCGCAGGTCGTCCATCTTGAGGGAACCCAGGATTCAAATCACAAAATAGAAGCATCAGAAGTCAATACGTTTATTCGCTATTGGAGGTACGGTGGAGTAATGGATAGCGGCTAGGATTGAGGAGTCGGAGAGCCGAGTTCAAATTCCAGTCAAATCCACTACATTCACTTACGTACTAAATTCCTTGGGAAAGGTAATAATCCTCTTCTTTTTCTCCCAGCTATGGTTAAATAGCAGGACAGACCGGGATAGCAACTGCTCTACCGCAGAAAGAAATAGCAACCTACTGCGGGAAAAAATCTGCCTCGTCAGTCATATATCGAAACAAGACTGACTGTTCCATTGGCAATTCAGTGATGATTTTTAGGAGACAAATCTATTGTGCCAAGAGGCTGCCCTTTATAAAAATCATTTTTATTGTATATTCTCTTTTATTATTATTGACACACATCATACTGAATTCTACACTTTACATAATAATGCATTTGTTTGCTTACTTTTTAAATTAATATATTCTAGCATGCAACTAGAAAAAAGTTCCTGAAATTCGCTATTTTATCAGCCTGTTCATAATTTAACTTGCTGCTACGTACAGAAAAAGACTATGTTTAAAAGAAATAATAAAGACGTCAGAAATTCCAAGAGATGATTTTTTTTATTTTTACATATAATTAAAACAAATAAGTTAGGCAGATGATTATGCTTAAAGTGTAATATATAAAATAAGTACAAGTTGAAGATTGTGAATCTAGCAACATGTAATCCCAGAGCAGTGTTAGGAAATAATTTTATCCAGTGGACTGTTTCAATGTTGTTCATAGCAGCATCAGGTGTTGGCATGAACTTGAATTCACACAGGCAAGCTGTTTCTATTTGTTCTTTTTATGTTTACAGCAATAACCTGCCTTGTTTCATCCCAGCAGGGTCTTAATGAATAAAAGAAGTACTAATTGTAACATGCAGACACCATCTACTTTACATAACAGATAAGGTTGAACATTTAAAAAAAAAAATCTTGATTGCAGTGTGCTTGTCAGAAACTTGTGTAAGTCATATAACATTGTTTCTTTGACAATTTTCAGCATTAAAACAAAAACAAAATCATCCTTGTTTGTTTTTTACTGATACTGAAGCCAAGAAACATTTGTGAAAGATAAAAGTTAAGAACAAGATAAAATACTGATAAAGTGGTTTAAACATCATGAAAGTGAACATTTTGAACTGAGTAGAGATTTTATAAAATAAATGTTTTGTTCTAACTATTATTATTCAACGTGTACTAATTTACACGATATTTTACAGGTAGAAATGTTTATCTTACCTGTCTGACAAAATTATTCATCTGATATCTCACAATAGCTTCCAATAATGTTAGATTAGAGATGGTTAAGCTATGTAATGACTAAAAATGAGAGAATTCTGAAACATTCTTGGCTTGATATCAGTACTTCATAAAATCTAACAAAATGAGTAATTTTTAGCGGGTGTAGAATGATTGTTGGTTAGGTATTTCAGCATCCCTTCACATATTGGTACATCAATAATTAGCCAAATGTTAAAACAAGCATTTTATTTATTTTTCAACAATTCCCTTCTTTGTCAATGCAGATGATTCTGTGTTAATATTAATCACAAGGTTCAATAATATACAGTGAAAATTTCAGATCAAAATATTTGACTTATTGATCCACTCTTAAACATAGGTACATTAATGTCTATTCTCTTATGATAAGAAAAACATACCTTTGCTACGACAATTATTTATCTTGAATACAAATTTCATAAAATAAGTGCTTCTTTCAAATCTTTATATACGCGGGTTATTCTGATATTATTCTAACAGCACGATCTTATGTCTATCTGGTGGTGTGTTGATAATGTAATGGCCATCGGTGCTGAAAATGAAATTGGCAGATGAAGTTCCAGTTCTGGCCGAATTTGTTATGGTCACTTCATGTTATTTTCACTCAACACAAGGCTCGAGTTCCACTCAAGGCAGATGATTACTTTTAACATACTTTTATAATGAATCAGACATATATAGTATTTCGTTCGAGTTTATTTCATACAAAATGTATTTCTTGAAACACTTTTCATTCCATTAATACTCTCTCTTTCCCTCTCGACAGACGAACACACACACATTATATATATATATATATATATATATATATATATATATATATATATATATATATAAGAGAGATTGGGGAAAGGAAAATATAAAATGTAACTATGAAAGAAATGCATTCTTTTCTTTGGATCTGATATTGTCTTTTATTTCAGTCCGTTCTCTTAAAGTTCTTTCTCTTCATAATTACAGATTTCAAAAAGAAATCTATGAAACACCTAAAATTCTCAGCCTTAAGGAACTAAAAATTATCCATTATGGAAATAAAAACAGATAAAAAAAAACCTTTTCAATAAATCTTAGCGCAACGGAATGTTTTCTTATAAGAACGAGAACGACTTTCAAATATATTAAATATTTTTAATATAAAAAAAAAAAGTAATTTTTTCCGCAGTTTTCTTTCTTTTTAATTTAATAATTATCGTTTCTGTTTGGTTGGTCGATTTTTTACGAATTTTCCTTAAAATTATTGTCTTAAAAAATAACATAAAATAGAAAAGATACCAAATATTAAGAAAACGTTTTTGTTTTTTTTTGTTTTTATCATATCACACCATGCAAGACAATAAAGCCACTAAGACACAATGGATTACCGACTGTAGAAAACAAGAAAAACAGAAACATTAGGGAACGAGAAGAATAGAAGAGTAACCAGGAAGACACTATAGAACGACTGACATAGAATTTAAATTTTTGAAGATCAAAGATGTCTGGAAAAAAATAGATCCGGAAGAGATAGATAGATAGATAGATAGATAGATAGAGAGAGAGAGAGAGAGAGAGAAACGAGAAAATGAACTGTTAGCTAAGAATTTACGGTTACATCTAACCAATTTAACTGTGAATTGATGAGACCTTGCAGCCAATCCAGCACTGCGCTTAAATTCTTAAAGTCTATGTACCATAGCGAAGAGTTCAACAGTACAATTACCCTGACAGTATTTTTAGGAAAAACACGGGGAAGCTACTTTACGGTGGTGGGAAAGTGACTGAAGCCGAGACGCCAGATCATGACCAATAATATTGCTGATTTTTCTTTGGATTTTATCAAGAACCTCCAAATATACAGCGGGAGTACTGCAGCACATTTTACCTAATAAAGTCACTAAAAATTATCTCGTGGGATTTCTCGAGTTTTCATAAAATTACTTACGTGGGGTGAAACACATGTAAAAAAATATTTTTACCAATAAATAAATAAACAATTCTGAAATAATTTGTGAATTACTCCCGAAAATTTAATTAAAATCTGACAATTATTTGATTTTTGCAAGAATTTCCAAATTATTGTCTCTTTGTTTTCATTAAGTTTGGACATTTTTTCATCACGGTATGTTAATTTTTTTAGCGATTTTGTGGCGGTATACCTAATTTATAATATTCCCTATATATATCTTTAATACTTTACACAAACACACACACAATATTCCCAATATATTTTTACCATTTTACACACACACACACATATATATATATATTATGAAATGGACAAAGTCCGACAATTATTTTAAGACATTTTTATCTTTATATATTCTTTTTATAGATACAAATATTTAGGTAAATGCTCTGTTTTATAATAAACAGTATTAAACAACATTAAAAATGTCTTAAAATAATTGTCGGACTTTCGCCATTGCATAATGTGTGACGTCAAATGTGTTTACATTTGATACGCCATGAGCAGATATGAATGTACGTGAGAGATTCATGGAAGATTAAAGTTTAAAGACAGTAAAACCGAACGCTCCTCTGTGACCGAATCTGTTAAAGGCACGTCAGGCTATATGACGGTTCCGTATAGGATACAGGTTCGATTCCTCTCGGAGGACGAAAATTTTCTCGGCCATTCAAGCCGGTAAATGTTGTTTAATACTGTTTATTATAAAACAGAGCATTTACTTAAATATTTGTATCTATTAAAAGAATGTATAAACATAAAATGTCTTTATATATATATATATATATATATATATATATATATATATATATATATATATATATAGGTTGGTGTAGAGTACAGAGCCATAGCCTAACCTCACTAGTCACTGAGTTTCAATAGAAAGAAGGATTTTACTGGGTGGAGTTGCTAACCTCACTACAACAGTTTTTGAATTTATAACTGTCCTTCATTAATACTGTCTGCCAACCAAGGCTAGACAGCCCAGTCTGCCTCATTTGTAACTACTAACTGAGGAGAGAACAGAAAGCATGTATCTTTCTTGGCAGCAGTCAATGCAGTGTCATAAGGACGTACAAATACGTCCACAGTGGTAAAAGTGTCAAGAGTGAGCAGTTTCCCAAAGTGCTTTTCCCCTCGGTTACGTCGAAGTGACATTTTATTCCTCGATATCTAGCGAGCAAACCAAGACAGCTGCAGGCAGATTCGTGCCCTTTTATGTATGTCCTAACAAGTAGCCAAAGAAAAGACTTAGACCAAATATGGTGCACTTCGTTCGTCAGTTTTCTGTGCATCTTACGCATCTCCTTAATTAGTGGTTTTCAAATCCCACCACCATGTGTTCCCATATTCTAGAATGTCATTCTCCCCTTTCAGAACTGATTCAAAAGGCACATTGTAGAATTGAAGGTTGCAAAAAGACCAATATTCCATCCTGGTGTGATGGAATTCCAGGTGATAGAGAACCTATGTGCTAAATAATACGGAGCGTCTTAAATGTCGTGTTTTTAATGCTGGAAGCAATAAATCAAATTGTTATAGCATACCTACGGACGATAATGGGTATGTCTCTATTCATATAAATACAGTAGTAAATACTGTATGTTGGTCAGCAGTTGGAGATTCGTCTCCAGTTGTGCTGGTTAAACTCTCTGCCTCTGAGCAAAGAGGATCCCCAGACGTGGCTATGTCGAAGGGCAGAGTCTCGTTTCAGAAAACAGCTACCCGACCCCGTTTTATACGGGGTCTACGTGGAGATTTTGGCCGATCCTACGGGCTTGGATACCCCGCATTAGATTCAGCCTTGTACCACATCTAACCGCGTGGGGTGGTTGGTAGATATCCTGAAGTTGGAGATCCATTGTGGAATTCACTTGACTCACTTCTAGCAGTTGACTACTACTTCTACGCGCCGCTGGCGAATCTTATATGTGTTGTTCTTGTCCTAAGTATTATCGTTCATTACCAATCTTTGTTTGGTTATTCTATTCAGTAACATTCCCTAGGTTACAACACAAATAGAGTTTTTCATTTGTTCAGTTGGTAAAGTTTATTACGCTTTCATTTCCGACGTCTTTGTGTAAATTTGGTTTGAATTTCTGAGACTAAGCGAGTTTCCTATTATACGTCGAGTCATTTAGACGAGATTCTTCATCTTTGTTATATTTATCAAAATATTTCAGTCCCAAGATCCTCCTTAAGGAAATAATCTCAGGAAAAATAGCGTTAGGTTAAAAAAAAAAACAGGTCACAGCAGCAGCTACAGGAACAGCAGCAGCAAATAACAAAAACAACAGCAGTAACAAAATATAACAGCAGCAGGAACAATAACAAAAAGAGCTGCGGCAACAGCGCAGCAAGAAAAAGTTTGTAAAATCATCAGCAGCAACAAAAACAGCAGCAGCATCAATAATAACAACAAAAATAACACCACAACAAGAAAACGGAAACAAAAACAACAAAGCAGCAGCAGCAAAAAGAAAAAAAAGACAGCAGCAGCAACTATTCGAACGTTCCACGGAATGACTGACTGGATGAAAACGTCGGTATAAAATAATTTACTTTCCTGGATGTCGTGAGTTCAATCTCAGGAGAAGGTAAATCTCAGACTTGATATCTTTTGTTTTGCGATGATAAACGTTTCTTGCAGTTTCTGGTGAATCGTTTTTCGAAAAAATAAAGTCTGTTTTTTATAGTCTTTGTTAATTTTCATTAGTAGTAATTAAAAAAAAATAATTATTAATATTATATAGGGCATTTAATACTTCAAAATGTTATCGTTAAAAATTCTAAATAGAGTTCACCTCCAAATTGAACGAAATGTCCAAAATATATGAGATAGTATGAGGCTGCATGATAGAATTGGTACTGTATGAATCTATGAAGAGAATATCCACATAAAAAGAATTAAATTTCATTTGATATTGGTAGAACATATTGAAAAGTATAGTACACTTAGGCTTTTTAATTTTCTTTCTTCTCGCTCCAATGCTAACTTAAACCAAGTCTGCATAAAATATGGCCCACTTGACCCGTGAGGTATTTTAAAAGTAGTAATTTTTTATGATCATCAGAATAAATTTTTGTTTTTGATCGGTATCACGCCATGCAAGGCAGTAAAGCCACTAAGACACAAGAGGTTACAGGTTGTGGAAGAATTAGGAACGGAAACATTGATAATGAGCGGGAATAGAAAAGAGTAATCAGGAGGATATCAGGAGATAGCGATTGACACTGCATTTAAATTTGTGCAAATTAAAATTGGCTGGAAAGCATGGAGTCGGAAAGGAGTTCCACAAACGAGAAGTACGAGAGAAGAAACTATTAGCATAGAACTTACGACTGGATCTAGCCAGATTAACTATAAATTGAGATCTCGACACCAATCCAGTACTGTGCCTAATTTTTTAAAAAAAAGTATAGGTCCCATAGCGAAGACTTCATCGGAACAATTAAAATGAAAGTATTTATAGAAAAGACACAGGGAGGTAACCTTACGGCGGTGGGAAAGAGACTGAAGCCTAGTGGCCAGATGAGAACCAATAATATTGCTGATTCTTCTTTGGATTTTATCAATGAGCTCAAGATAAATAGCAGGAGCACCGGGCCCTATGTGACAGTAATAGTTTAAGCATGGACAAATAGTAGACGTATAGGTAAGTAAGATATTTTCGACAGCTGATAGTTTACGAAAATTTAAGTTCTGTGGAAGCATGATTTTCGTCTTGGATTAAGATATGCTTCCCTTGCGATGCATTTGCGCCATTTTCAGTAATTTTTTCGAAAAATTCGCCCTTGTGGCCCGCGGCTAATTTTCTGCGATTAATGTGGCCCTTCGCATTTTTAATTGTTCAGGCCCGACTCAAGCAATGAAGTACTTAAAGGCCGAATCCTAAGAAAAAATATTCGAGTCAAAGACGCGTAGTAAAGATACGGCTGACAAATTCTCTTAAAAATATATATATATATATAAAAGTGGTCAAATATAGAGCAATGAAACAGAAGTCTGAAGGAATGAATTCTTCAACAGGTAAAAGGAATGAAACAAAAGTCTAAACGAATGAATTCTTCAACACGCAAAAGGAATGAAACAGAACACTGAACGAATGAATTCTTCAACTGGCAAAAGGAAGGAAACAGAACACTGAACGAATAATTCTTCAACACGCAAAAGGAAGGAAACAGAACATTGAACGAATGAATTCTTCAACTGGCAAAAGAAATGAAACAGACGACAAAGTTCAGCAGAACTCAAACTATAAACTATTGTTCAAGAGTTTAAAACCAAATATATAAAACTCCAAACTTGGATTTGTTCAATCGAACGTCTTTAACACAATACAATTGTTGTAAGATAACCAACTTTCTTTCGGTTCAGGTATCAGTCTACAAAATTCTGTTTGAAGCCGTCAGCTCTCTTACTCTCTGTTTCTGGACTTACAGAATATCAATCTTGTCTTCTGGCTGACATTACTAATCACTCTCAGCTATTTTTTTTCTCTCCCCGTTTATTCTTTTCTTTATTGTAAGTTTTTTCTCTTCTATTTCTTTTTTTTTTTCCTTACATGAATGGCGTTCATTTTATTTTCAAGAGAGAAACTTTTCTTTAGCAATTCTGGTAGATTCTCTCAAGGTAAAAGGCCACATGGCTTCGCTTCTGAGAAGGAAGAATTGATTTTGTCCTTGCGCGAAGATCACAGAAAACCATTTCCACAGACACCCAAGCCGAAGACGCTTTGATGTGTTCGTTGAAGCGGGTAATGACGAGAGGAGATGAAATGGACACGGGGAAAAAAAAAGAGGATTTTAAATCGGTTGGCATCGACTCAAAGCGGGGACGAAGTCCACTTGACGACTGTCAAAGGGTCACATGGGCACACGGAATCGGCAACTGTCGCTGGTAATCATTGTTCGGACGACAGGCAAACGAACAGACTAGCTTATGGCAAGCGGCCGATTAACAGTGATTATAGCTGAGTCCTCGAGTGATTCGGGTTAAACTGGTCGGGTTGGATTGAAGCGGTAAGTCATTTGTGACAGTACTTACTCGACGTCACAGAAAGATTTTCAGAACACACATTTACTTAGACGCTAACGTAGACATGCCCTCTTGCACACATACACACACATATATGTATATGCACACACACACACACATATATATATATATGCATACACACACACATATATATATGCATACATACACACACATATATATATATATGCATGTATATTTATATGTTACACTACTTATATGCTGTCATAGAAAGACTTTAAAGACGCACACTTGTATATATTTCTATGCTTAATTACGCGGATGTCTTATAAATGCGTGAATATATATATATATATATATATATATATATATATATAGTGAGAGAGGGGTAGTTAACGCCAATCGTTTACACTTGTCAGCTAGAATCTGTACCTTGTTTCGAGGTCTTCTTCAGAAGGGCATTGCTATATGAATTCACACCAAATAAATAAGTGGCTGCAGACACAGCCATGCACACAATTTGGCGTTCATTTTCTGAAATAATCATAAATTACCACAGAAAATATTCGCACCGACTCATTGACTTTGTTAGAAATTAAAAAAACTCGAATTTACAAACTTTGCTTAACGCACACACAAAACAAAACTCGTAAAATTTCACACCTTGATGCGAAATGTTTTTCGGCCAATAGAAAACTAGGAAACATTTAAAAACAAAATTCAAATAATTCTCAGAAACAAATTCTTTACGGGCCTTTTCGCGAGCCGACGCGAAGTTTGTTCGTCGTCCAATGGAAAAGCCCGAATCATATCCGGGAGTTAATTTCCAAATGACGTTTTTAAGCCCCAAAAACAAAATAAAAGACGGGCAAGTTCGCTTGTCACCAGAGAGAAGGGGACGAGCGTATTAACAAGTCCCTTGGCAAACGTCAAGCAATCGTTATTATTATCTCTACCTTTCTCCCTCACCTTTTTTTATAATTGATAAACGAACGGAACATTTTTAGATTTAGCGATTACTTCAAAGACATTGCTACCCTACGATAACGCTCATACATACTTACATACATCCATGCCTACGTACACATAAACTCATTCTTGCAAGGACTACTACGAACATTTTGACGACATTGTATCAACCAAAATACATTAGTTTTAGTGATAAAGATCTTAATTGATTTATATGTATATAAATTTATTGTTTCACTTTACAATTTGATTTTCTTGTTTTATACCCCTCTTATGGTGGGCTATCTAACTAACAAGGCCAAATCAAACTAATTTACTACACTTCACTATAACTGATAACCCACTATACGTTCACTGGGACCAATTTCAAGTTGCTTAAAGGTGATGCTATTTACAATGGTCAAAATGACGTAAATATTCAGCTTGACCCTTGTAAATGACGCCATCATTAAGCGACTTGAAATAGTTCCAGCAACCTAGGGAACATCAGAATTAACTAAACGCACTTTCATAAATAGACTAAACATGCAAGTCTTGGCAATGACTGTAGTGACAGCCGTAAACATTTGAATACACACGCAGTCATATATATATATATATATATACATATATATATATATATATATATATATATATATATATATGAAGTCATTTAATTTATGGCCCCTATTATTCTCAAAAATACCAACGGATTTTTCACAGAGTTTTGTCTTTCATTCCAACCTGAAGACGCCGAACCTAACACACACCGTCAGCCAAACGATCTGTTGAAAAGGTTTGACACTTTGTCCAATTATTTCTCTCCTAACCCTGTCTCTTCCTTTCTCTCATATATAGTCATATATGTAGAGTATATAGTAGATAATTTATTTATATATACATAAATAATTATAAAGAATATATATATATATATGTGTGTGTGTGTGTGTGTGTGTGAAAATTTTAATATATATATATATATATATATATATATATATTTATGTACACACACATATATATAAATAAGTATAAAGAATTTTTTATTATATATATATATATATATATATATATATATATAAGAATGCTTAATTACAGCACACGATATATATATTTAAAATTACAGTATTTAGGTAGCAACCCCTCTGTTATACAAGTTTCATTAATTTTCATTAAGCTTTTAGCTAATTTTTATTTTTTTAATTAAAATTTTACTTATATGAACACAAGAAAAATCAAATAAAAAACTTCATTGCAGTACCTTGTCAGTTATCACTGAAACTTATATATATAGATATGAAAACTTTCTACATGTTTACAATGTTTAGGAACTCTCTCTCTCTCTCTGTCACACACACACACACACACACATATATATATATATATATATATATATACATTTTTTGGTGGTGGTGGTAGACGATTTGCCACTTCTTGCTTTTATATCAATGAAGGGATGACGATAGCTGCGTGTGTCTGACTGCCCCAAGTCTTGTGAGTGAAACTGGGTTGACAGAACAGTTTGGTTGTTTTAGCACGAAGTCACAAGTCATCGTGACTGAAATTTTGAGTGTACTGGCGATCTTCAAACTGCTAATCATGCCAGACGATGCACACTTTTGCCGAGAAACTCTAACTAAGGTCCGATCTGTATAGTTGCAGCATAAACCGCAAGTAGTTTCTGCGGGTGTTGAACAAACTCATATGTGCCTGAGCAGGCATTTGCTACAGGGATTGGCTTGAAAATGAGAAACGGCACTTATATATATATATATATATATATATATATATATATATATATATATATATATATTTCTGAGATGAGGTGTTATGTACACTATTTACATTATTCGGACTATTGTCCTCATCACTGTTGCCATATTTATCTCAACGTTTAGGCAATGATAACAGCAACAATTGCAATATGAGCACTGGTAAAAAATGAACGTTGAAGACATTAGGTTTATAATAGCCTGAAATATGCAGATTCAACTTTTCGCATTGAATAATTAGCATAAAAACAAACAAACAATAAAATAAGTTTTAAATTCCATAGTCTAATAAATAGTTCAAATACCCTAAAAAAAAATAACCCTTTATGAAGTCGTCAAAAAAACAAATGTTAGCGACTTATGACAGTTTTCTTATATACCCTATCAGAAAACCCTATCAGAAAAAAATAAAAAAATAAAAAAATAAATAAATCTCCATAGACACTTAACCAGACTAGACGATGTCATCTTCCGCTTTAAATTTAGACACACCAACCTTACCCTGACTTGACGTCTTTGAATGTAACTGAGATATTGATACACATTATTAACCCTTACGCGCCTTTTCTTTAAACAATTTCTCTAGCCGTTACCATAGTAATTTTAATTTCAATAATGAATATGCTCATAAAACGCGTAAATTTCAGGAATAAGTTATTCCAAATAAAATTTCGCTTGAAGATGGAACAGAGCTTGCTACTTTAATTCAATTTTCGCCTCTGTTTTTGAAACATGAGAACTCCTGTGTAGCGTTGGAATCATACTTTTAAATAAATAATTATACTTATGCTCTACTTTTGTATCGAGCACTATTTTTAAAAAATAATAACAAAATTACTAAAGTACTTTGGATTATTTACCTAACGGGTTCTTTCCTATTTTCTATATATTTTTACACACATACACACACACACACACACACACACACACACACACTCACACATATATATATATATATATATATATATATATGCATAGCTTTTTTTGTTTAGAATTTTTATATGTTATTACGTTATCCAGATGAATAATTTGTTTATAAACTCACACTCGAATAAGCATACTGGACCTCTACGAATAGTTGCGTGACAATGCATACTGACTGTAAAGTCAAAAGTTCAATTCCAAGAGACGGACTGGTTGATGGTTGATGCCAAAAAAGAAAGGACATTTCACAGACCCGAATAGAAAGGTTAGGTTTCACTCCCGCCATGCTCCTTCAACATGTAACATTCACACCTTCTCAAGACATTAATATAAAACCTAAGACTAATCGACATGCCTGCAAAAATATGGTACATGCAATAAGTTGAATACGTTTACTTGTTTATACTAAATTATAAGAGGTCACTAGAACATCTCCAAAATATAATGTCAATAATACAAAAATCGGTGATACATTTTAACTAAATTTCTGCTATCAATTTACCTCTTAAATTCCGCATGCCAAGCTTACGACAAAACAAAAGAAAGAAAGAAAGAAAAAGAAAAGAAACGTATTCATTTTTGAATGCATACGTACACAGACATGCACGTTGTACGTTTATCGAACTTTACTGGAAAACACAATGATTTTTATGTTTGATGACGAGAGACGCAAACATAGTTAAGAGTGCGTCAGTAAATCCATTGGTATTTGCGTAGATATTTTTAATAAAGATTCAACTGCAAGAAAACAGTAATCTTTCTACGCGGCCTCACCCACACCCGACACCCAGCGTCTATCCCTGCTTTCATATCAAAGCAAAGGAAACATTAACAAGAAATAAAATTATATATATATATATATATATATATATATATATAATTACATAACAAAAGTAAGTAAAGAAGATAAATAAACTCATATAAAAACTCAACAGAGATAGAAATTAAACCAAAGGGGAAAAAAACAGTAATAGACTAAAAAAAGGGAAAAAAAGAAAGAAACAATAAGATAAAAAAAAAAAAAACAACGGAAAGAAAGAAAAATCCCAATCCACTTTTAGTGGCTCCATGTTTAGAAATTCTCGAATGTATCATACTTACATACTAAAAAAAAAAAGAAGAAAAAAATATAGTTTTTTCTCTACATTTTTTTTTTGTTAGACTTTTCTTTCAGATTTGGCATCGTTTTATTTCTTATTTTATTATGGTCTCTTATTGCGTACATAAATCTTCCCCACCCCAAGGATGTTTTTTTTTTGTTTTGTTTTATTTTATTTATTTTTTTTTTACTGAATTATAAGAATTAAAAAAAAAACAATAAAGGAAAAAAAGACGAACTAGAGTAAAATTATCAATGGATCAATGACTGAATATTTTTAACGTTGCAGGAACAGAAGAAAACAGGAAGAGAGAGAAAGAGGGAGAAGTGGAAAGATAGAGTGGAAGAGAAAGAAAGAGAAGAGGCAAGAGGGAAGTGTGTAAACAGAGCGAGAAAGATAAAGAGAGAAAGGTGTAGGGAGTGAGAGAAAAGGAAGAAAGAGAAGAGGCAAGACAGAAGCGAGGAAACAGCTCGATCGTGAAAGTTAAAATGAGAAAGGGATAGGGAATGAGAAAAGATGGTGGGGGGAAAGGAGCTAGAATTGAAGACGAGGAAAGAGAAGGTGGAACTGGGAGAAAGAAACAGAAGGTGAAACACACACAGAGAGAGAGAGAGAGAGAGAGAGAGAGAGAGAGAGAAAAAGCGGAGAGGAGAAGAAACGAGGTGAAGGAAGGATCGAGCGAAGAGAGACGGGAGGAAGGACAGAGGAAAATGAAAAGAATTGGGGGACAAAGTGGAATAAAATAGTGGTAAAAAATTAGCAAGACTTTGGTAGATAAAACAAAATATACGAAGAGAAATATTTGAATGAAAAAAAACAAAAACATATAAAGAATTAAAAAGAAAAATCAAAGAAAGAAGCAAGAAAAGACAGATAGAAATATTGCATCATCTTTCCCCAAAGTTGTAACGAGTAAAAAAAGGTGCAAGTATTTAATATTCATAAAATATTGCTGCTTCTAAGTTCAGATTCATCCGACTGACACATTTATATGAATGTGTGTGTGTGTGTGTGTGTGTGCATGCATTGAACAGTGTAAAAGAAGTGTACTTAATTCTAACACTGTCATGAATGTAAAATCGCATTGCTATGACTGTGTGCATTTAACAACTGGCATGGATGTGTACCATATAAATTAAGTTTTATATATATATATATATATATATATATATATATATATATATATAAAACATGCATATACTTGCATGCAGAACATGTAAAAGAATCGTATATTCCTGACTTAGTTTATATGTCACACAGCCATGCCATTTGTTCAATATATAGGGGAGGTACAGTTGAGTAGCAGCTCGGATTGAGGAATGGGAGAACCGAGTTCGAATTCCAGTCGGATCCTTTACATTCACTTATGTGCTAAGACCTTTTGGGAAAGGTATGAATCACATGGAAAAACTGTACATAAAAAAAGACTGGGTTCTATTGCATTGGGTGGCAACCAGTCCAGGAGATGGAAAAACTCTGAATTCAAAACTGGCCCGGAGTGAGCTAGGCTCCCGTCAGGCTATCTTGCCCAAGAAACACCACTTTTACTGCAGCTGCAGTACATGCAGTAACCCTACGACTCTGACGGGCCACGGGATAACACACACACACACACACATGTAGAAACGAATTACAGACAAGAATAAAAGAATTAAACACAAGCATATTATTTATATATATGAAATTGAATATATCTGTGTGTGTGTGTGAATACATAATCGCAGCAACGAAACATATTTGGATTGATTATATGCTTAGAATTTATTTTGTGTTATCAAAACAAACTTACAAAAAAGTATTGTTTGCATGTATAGATACCTATCAGACTTCACCTATTCTCACACACAGAGCAGCAGGATCCGCCCAAAATATATTGAACACAATATCAATGGTTTGCAAGATGACTTAGCTGACCATATTTGTACGAAAAACATCTGAATAATACACAACATATTGTTGGCCGTCATGCGTGAATAAGGCGATGTCTGTCTGTCTGTCTCTCTCTATATATATACACTATTCACCAATCCAAAATTACAACACCAAACAGCCCGTTCGAAAAAAAATTTGGGAATTGAATGAAAAGGGTCTGAATCCTCAAATAAATTGGAAAATTTTACCTTTCACGAACACCCCCAATAGTTTTAGGGGTAGGTGCAAGCTATGTTTAGAAGAAAAAAATCAGGATAATAAAATATAAAGATCAATGCAAACTATTAAATAAACGGAGAGAACAAATCACGAAATGTAGACATAGAAATAGATTTAAAATTATTTTAAAAATACATGAGTATATATGTCGTGGTGTATGTGTGCGTATGTAAATGTAGATATATGTATGTATGAAGATATGTACGCATATAAGTATGTTGGACAGCATGATTTATTCCATTGGATGCTCTGGTATTATCTACAATCTATAAATCTATCATTCAATTAATTTACATTAATCTTAACGGGTTTAAGTTTAAATCCTCCATCGCTTATTAATAATATTGGAAACTTGTAGTACACAAACTATTTACTGTGAATCCCAGGAAAACACACTTAGGGCTCGTATAAGAAACACCACTTAGTAGGAACTGATATTAAACTACAAACAACGAAAGGCTTTAGCCATAAATAAACTCTAACCCCAGACAGCTTCCCCCCGGAACACGATACATTACGCCCTCCACCAGTCGCTAAACAAGCCTCTTCTCATTAAGAAGGCGTCTACCAGAGGAGGACTGTCATTGAAAATAAATTTAAAACAATGCCCCGGGACAGACAATTAGGGCTGATGATAGCTGTTTACAGATCGGACCGGCTTGAAATACACCATCCCCATGTTGAGGTGATTTTTGTTTTTTGCTATATATATATATATATATATATATATATATATATATATATATATGTAGTTAATTTAGAGATAGAGAGTTTGTTATGGTTATTTGAGCAGGATCGTCAGGGAAAGCTGGCCAGCTTTCCTGACGATCCGCTTAGGTGAAGCCTTGGTAGGTTTGTCTGGCTCTCTAGGTTTAACTAGGTCTGTCTAATCATTGTATTGAGCATTTTATTTATTTGGTTATTTTGGGTACTCGCATCGGAGTTTTTTCTTTGGGTCTTGAACTCGTATGCTGGACGATTATTTTCGGCTGACGTACATGTTCTTTGCTCTTTCTTTTTTTTATATACCTTTTTTCTCTTTGGTATTGGCGTGTTTATTTGCAAACCAACACACCGAAGGTTTTCCGAGCGAGTATAGTTTCTTATACTTATATGATTCTATTACATAATAATAATAATAATAATATATATATATATATATATATATATATATATATATATATATATATATATATTCCTCTGCAATGTATGTGTACTTAATAACTTCTTTGAGATATGGGTTGTAATTGGCTTTCCATCGGCGGAGTTTACCATATTTCTTTCACACTCTTTTATTAAAGACTAACCATTATGGAACGAAACGTGTAAGGTGGAGGTTTTGTCCATTTAGTTATTCAATTGCCCTTCTACTGATATACATTTGTACATCATATATATACTTGTTGGATTCAAGTTTTATCGCACAACATTTAAAGACACATTCCTGTCCACCTTCACCATACAAGAAAATACTTGTTGACAACACCAACATACTACACCACGAACATAATAAATAAAAACTTCAAATTCTTGAAGCCCTCTATATAAAAAAAAAACAACCAATGTTAAACAAAATTTATTAGTATCAATGTTTTAAAATGCTTTTAACCAATATCACTGCCATTTGCATTTTTACCATCTCTGATTAGCTCCATTATATTGTGGACGCTTGTTTACAAAACAGAATTATTAGAACGGATGAATTTTAAATTTGAAAATAATTATTAAAAGAGCGCGTGCATGTGCGTTTTCAAAAATCAGAATAAAAATGATCACAGTTACAATAGGTTTGTCTTCGCAATGCACCCCTGATTATGATCTCGGAGGAGATCGAAAGTACTTGGGTTAACAAAAACTACATCTTAACATCAAGAACCTAATTAGAGAACTAGAAGGGATTATTATAAAAATAAATAGCTATATGTCTATTATTCAATGAAACATACATGAATTAAGATATGCTACCTCCTCTCTCTCTCTCTCTCTCTATATATATATATATATATATATATATATATATATATATGTATATACTGGGCTGTCGGTTCCTAGGAACTCAATTGTTTGCTCTCATACGTCGGAGAAACGGACGTGAGAGTCAGTATATATATATATATATATATATATATATATATATATATATATATATATATATATATATATATCAAATTGTAGGAGAATGAACAGTAAGATTACAGGTTCAGAAACATTAATTTAAAAATAGTGGTCAATACATAAAGTAGAGCCGTAAAATTTATTTAAGAGTGTAGTGTTACATTAAACATGCACATATATTCACGACAAATGTGCATTATTCGTCAGGGTGAAATTTTTTAGACGTCTCATCAGGTGTACATCATAATTTCCCACTTGATGAGACGCCTAAAAGGTTTTCACTTTTTGACGTTGAAGGAAAATGTACAATTTTGTAATGGACATGTACATGTTCTAATGTAACACTGCATATGAAAATATATATATATATATATATATATATATATATATATATATATATATATATATATATAAGGTGGACATTGAGGTTAAAACACAGCGGCGACCTATGGTTTCTGCTTAAACGCAATCTTATTTATTATTGATTACTTTTTGATTTGTATTATTCTTATTTTTGTAAAGTAATAAATAATGAGTAAAAAAAAATGGTAACAAAGAACATTATAAAATAGCTACAAATAACTGCATTCCGATCCACAATTATTTGTAGTCAATTGCCGCTAGAATGATTTGAAACATAACTGTTACCGCCCACCCAATAATTGTTAGAATAATTCTAGAGACTTTCTACCCACAATGCCCCATTTACCAGCATAAATAAATAGTCGAGTGAATATACAACTCACATGACCTAAAGATTGCGTTTAAGCATAAAACGGACGGTGTTGATCTCAATGTCAATTTTATATATATATATATATATATATATATATATATATATATATATTATAATTTTATATTTACATACGGTTTATCTCTGATATTGAGCACTTTAATCCATGAATATAACGTAGCTTAAAACTACAGTATTTGACAGCATATAAGACGCACTTTTTTTTTTTTTTACTAAAATATCTGCTAAAATTCCATTGCATCTTATATGCCATATGTAGATTTAACATATTCCGAAATTAGCTACCTGGCAACTCCTATTAGCTTAGACTTTAGAGTACCTTTCATATACCTATTGTCATTATTTAAAAAGCTATTATGTAGATTAAAAGTGTTATCATTGATAATATTCATTATATTAATTTCATTACGTTTAATATTAGTACTTTGTTTCACTAAAATTATAATCAATATATTCAAATTGTATATTTGTAAAATATATTTGTTTCATTAATATTTTTCTTGCGATAACTTCTGGTTGCATTGGTATAAATACAATCAGAATTTTTATATCCTAATTATTCCACTATGACGTTTACAAGACACGGGTTGTACAGATCATATAACGGATATAATAAAGTTTTTATAGGCTTGTGGTCTTTTTTCCCATTATTTTTCTTATAATACCTCATAAATATAGCCCAGGCTGTATCATTTACTAATAATTTTACTAAATACTTTTTTTGATTTGCCATGCTGAAATTGGGGTGCGTCTTATATGCTGTCAAATACAGTATATGTTTTATCATATATACAGGATGTATCAAAAATACTTTTACAAACTTTCATGGCGGGTTCTTGATATGAAAACAAGGCAAAATGTCCATATAGACATATGTCCAAAAAGGCCACCGTCGTACCACAAAACAGCAAATTATAACAATTGTTCAAAATGTCCTCCGCTTGCTTATACACGCGCATGCACCCGTCGCATTACTGACTGACGGACTCTTTCAAATATTCCTACACTGTGTCGAATGGTTTCGCAGGCCCCAATGACACCTTCATGAAGCGTCTCATTATTAATGTCTGCTGCATAAATCAATTGTTTGAGGTGATCACACAGATAAAAATCCAAAGGAGTGAGGTCGAGGAAATGTGCAGGCCACGGGGGGGGGGGTGTCCGTCCTCCCGTATTTATCCATCTTTCATGGTAGATGTCAGCCAGTGCTTCGCAAAGAATGTGACTAAAATATACTGGGACTCTATAATGCATGAACCACATGTATATTCGTATTAGCAGGAGTACATGCTCTAGCAGGTTTGGAAGTGTGTTCGAAATACATTCCCTGTAGACAGCTCTTGTAAGACGTGTTGGAGAAACAAGCAGTCACCTACAATTTCAGCCCACACATTAATCGTAAACTTATGCTGATGTCTAGTCTGTATAGGGATTCCGATCTGGCCACGAATGTTGTTTGTGTAAATTTGTTATTTCTTCTCCTCCAAATGTTTCCTCATCCGTAAACAAGACTAAAGAAATAAGCAACGGATCGGCAGTTTCTGCAATAAACTATCGGCAAAAGTTCTCCTGTCGATGTGTATATAGTCAGACAGATAGATGTAGGTATAGATAAATATACATGAAAACTGTCATTCATTCTCTTAATTATCCGAACACATACACACATACAAATATGTGTGTGTAGAGAGAGAGAGAGAGAGAGAGAGAAAGAAAGTAAGAAAGAGAGGGCCAAACAGATCGATGGTTATAAACACACACACATTAGATAGATATTTGAACAGACTGAGATAGATAGATAGATAGATAGATAGATAGATAGATAGATAGATAGATAGATAGATAATGTACTGACTGAGATAGATATGAGCAGACTGAGATAGATAAATAGAAAGACAGGTATGAACATAGATATTTGAGCAGACTGGGGTAGATATGAACAGACTGAGATACATAGATAATGAGCTGATTGGGATAGATATTTGAACGGAGATAGATAGAGATAGATAGATAGATAGATAGATAGATAGATAGATAATGAACAGAATGAGATAGATAGATAGATAGATAGATAGATAGATAGATAGATAGATAGATAGATAGATAATGAACAGATTGTGATAGATAGATAGATAGATAGATAGATAGATAGATAGATAGATAGATAGATAATGAACAGATAGATAGATAGATAGATAGATAGATAGATAGATAGATAGATAGATATGATCAGACTGAGATAGATAGGTAGAGAGATAGACATGATCAGACTGAGATAGATAGATAGATAGATAGATAGATAGATAGATAGATAGATAGATAGATAGATAGATAATGTACTGACTGAGATAGATATGAGCAGACTGAGATAGATAAATAGAAAGACAGGTATGAACATAGATATTTGAGCAGACTGGGGTAGATATGAACAGACTGAGATACATAGATAATGAGCTGATTGGGATAGATATTTGAACGGAGATAGATAGATAGATAGATAGATAGATAGATAGATAGATAGATAGATAATGAACAGAATGAGATAGATAGATAGATAGATAGATAGATAGATAGATAGATAGATAGATAATGAACAGAATGAGATAGATAGATAGATAGATAGATAGATAGATAGATAATGAACAGAATGAGATAGATAGATAGATAGATAATGAACAGAATGAGATAGATAGATAGATAGATAGATAGATAGATAGATAGATAGATAGATAGATAATGAACAGAATGAGATAGATAGATAGATAGATAGATAGATAGATAGATATGATCAGACTGAGATAGATAGGTAGAGAGATAGACATGATCAGACTGAGATAGATAGATAGATAGATAGATAGATAGATAGATAGATAGGTAGAGAGATAGATATGATCAGACTTAGATAGATACTGACAAATCGACGTTTGTCGGTACAGGAAAATGAAATACTATAAATAAACTGATATAATTGTTATTGGCATCTTTTATGATACTTGAAGTTTGCCCCATTAAAAAAAAGAAATAAGATATTATAAAGCGATTGATTGATGGGGACTTAACTTTAGAAATTGCACAGAATTTGAACACAGAATGATTAAAAAAGAAAGTGAGCAAAATACGGGCGATCCCATTTTGAATAAGTAGATCATTTGATAGTAAAGGAAATATAGTCTACCCCAGTGATCGAAATAAAGGGTTCAGTTCGAAATTCCAACTACCTGAAGAAGGCCAGAGCGTACAACGGCCGAAACGTTGTGACAAATATGGCGACAAAGATGAGGACAATAGACCGACTAATGTAAATACTGTACATAATACCTCATCTCAGAAATATATATATATATATATATATATATATATATATATATATATATATATATATATATATGTTAATATGGTGCTGAAAAAGATTTGATGTTTCTGCCATTTTTTTTAGATTTTGCAAAAGTACGTCCGACCGGGATCTTTTCAGCACTTCCTAGCGCGCACGCACACACACGTGTAAGTTTGATCAACGAATGTTCTTTGATTACAACCTTTTCGATTTATACTTTTTATATTTCAAACAATTTTTTTTCGTTTTCAGTGACAATTTGAATTTGAATTGTCCAACATCTGAGTACTTTCTACTTTTGTAAAACATTGTCAAAAAGTATTTATTTTTTGTGCTATATCAATTACATTTTCATAAAACATGCCAGTTTTTAAAGTATTGCGCCTTCACGCGTCAGTTCAGGTCGTGTTTTTTAATTATATTGAAATATATATAATATATATATAATATATATATATATATATATATATATATATATATATATATATATATATATATATATATATATATATATATATATATATATATATATATATATATAATATATATATATATATATATATATATAATATATACATATAATATATATATATAATATATATATACATATATATAATATATATATATATATATATTATATATATATATATATATATATATATATATATATATATATATATATATATATATAATATATATATATATATATATATATATATATATATGATATATATATACATATATATATATATATATATATATATATATATATATATATATATTATATATATATATAATATTATATATATATTATATATATATATATATATATATTTTTTTTTTAGAGTTCTTGTATTTTTTCTTCTGTATCTGCTATAAACCGTACATCATTATCTATATGTAGTTAACATTGAATATAGTATATATGTATAGTAACGCTCTTGAACAATACTCGTGTCAGACGCCTTCGAATAACACTCGCACTAAAAGTACTTGCTCGATAATGCTCGCTCGAAAAGTAATCCGTATAGTGATCTGAATAGAGAAATAGTATAGTGAATAGAGTAGAGAATAGCAGTCCGTATAATAATAGAAGTTAGAATAGAAATAGTGATCCGAATAGTAATAGAGGATAGACTAGAAATGACGATCAATTAGAGACACACTACCTCCCATATATGCGTTTTCCTCTGTGTGCTCTACTTAATTCAATAATGGGATCGACTGTGTTTGCTCACTGGCGATATATGTTCAAAGTCAATTGTCGGCAGCGACACTTTATTCCTATATAACAAATTCAAAATTATGACATCTTTCATCCTTGAAAATGACCAATAATTGTTGAAAGAGTTCGTGCATATAGGTATGGACAATTTTTAAACCGGTACTGGATACAAACGTACGTTAACTTGTCACGAGAATAGCAAGAGAAAATCACGTAAAATAAATCTGAACAAATCATGTCTCTAGTTTTTAATAAAACCTGCTTAAACGAAAAACTGATGCCAACATTTTATGTGGTGTTTTATGGTTGTACGTTTACTTTATACGGTGTTTTATTTTTCCTTTAAGGATTTAGATTAATGCGAGATTTTTTTCTCCTTCAATAAGTTTATATCCAATTTTTCTTAAATAAATTGTCTAATGGAAAGATAACGCACGAATATTTTATCAATACGGATACCAGAGAACCACGTGCATGGGTAGATTATATATATATATATATATATATATATATATGATCATAAATATGTACACCCGACTTCTGAAACCATACGCAAATGATTGCGTGTGTTTTTCCTATATTTTCTTGATAAGCTCGGACGAACACGTCCATTTGTAAGATTCTTTCTTATCGAGATCAATTTATCACGTGATTTGGAACAATCAATTTATCACGTGATTTGGAACAATCATATTATTTCTCTGAGTAATGAAGGTTAATAAGTAATGTCCATTCGCTCCTCAAATCACACTCGAGAGGTGATATATGGACCTAGCATCTTTAGCTTGATTTATAGCGTGCCTTGTCGTCGGGGGTTTAAAATAAGCCGTCAACGTCCTCTTCAGAGATGTAAATCCAATCCAAAGCAGCCACTTGCGGACTACTTGTAGACTCAGGTATAAACCCGACCAATATCTGACCTTTGATTCAAACACAAAAGACTGTAGCAATCCGGGTTAACCGCCACCCAAAATATGCTGGGTACAGTTTTACCTGAATGTGCAAGCCGCGAAAAATAGAAAGCCGAGGATGAAATGCAGAGTAGAATGAATTCTCAAGCCTTGTGCAGTTTATGAGAAGGAAAGCTATGATTTCTAAAGCATGGTGAGGGAAACCACTACCTTGCCCAAGAAGGCATAGTAATTCACAGATAACAATGTTAAGGGTAGTATTAACCGATTCCTTATAAGGAAACATTCGACATTCATTGACTGGGAAGCCAGTGTTAGAGCCGGTTAAAATTTATAAAATTTTCTATTAAAACATTTTTTGATTTTTTAAGTCCACTGTTATCGCAATACTGATGGGGGGTTTCTTTCCTAATCTTTTGTTTGGAGTTCTGTGGAATATCAATATCTTGATTATGGCATTAGTTTCTCTATTTCAAGTTAAATGTGCTATCAATTTAAGTTTTGTTCTGTTGTTGTTGGAAGTCCTCAAGTGGAATGGTTTCTGTTATTTGTTACAGTTCTGTGATTGTGATGCTGTAGCGTGAGTCCACGAGGTACGAAGAGGGGTGGTGCACGCTAAGGCGTTACCCGCTTCATTCACTCGCAAGCCACATTTAACCGTTGAAAGAAAAAGATTGCATATAGCCGACAGGTTAAATCTTTCTGAACGAGCCTGGTGCATTGCATAACATCCATATGAATGTCTCGATCCTGACGAGGCTATTTAAGAACATGACTCAAGTTAATGTTTTGGTTTTGTAGAAACTAGTGTGTGGAACGAAACTACCCCGAGCGCAGAATTTTCTATGTTCAATTTCTTTATCACCAATAATAAATTTGCTATAAAAGATCCATAAACCAATGTATCTGACGTGTTTAGTATTTACTAATTCCACACACTGATTTTTATGATTGGGTACCATCATTGCTTTTATTCGAATTCCAGATCATACATTCTGTTTTGTAAAGATTTATCCTGAGTCCAACTTCCTGGAATACTTAATAGAAGATTCTGATTTTTTTGTTCAACTTTATTCTTATCTAAACTATGAATACCTATGTCATCAGCATAGCCACCACCACATCATCTGTGGATTGATCTCAGGTGAGGAAGCAGGAATGTTATTTTCTATCAGTGGATTCATTTGGGATGTCATATGAAATGCTTAAATGATCAGTACCTGTCTCTTCACATCTGTGCTTGTAGATTTGCAGAAAATAGAGTAGGAAGAGATTAAATAGGTTGAAGCTCTCATTTTCTGCTTGTCATACTCTGGATGAGGTTTGGAATGTCCTGGTTTTGGGATCAACACACAACATATATGACTTTGTGGACCAATATAGTTCTTCTATCAGATCTGGGCATTCAATGGATTTGGAGCTTGGAAGGTGATTTCTAATGGATAAGACGAGAAAGTCTCAATTGCTAGGGTCATATGCCACTGTGAAGTCAACAATACAATTGGAGAAGTTATCAATATTCTGGACTTGCTTGATGACATATATATATATATATATATATATATATATATATATATATATATATATTCCAATTTCAATTCCAGATGCCATTCCAATACGAGATCATAGTTTCTGTTTTGGAAAGGTTTAATCACGTGTCCTGTTTCTTAGAACATTTGGTAGCTGATGTAAATATTTTGTTCAAGATCATTCTTAGCTCAACTGTGAATAACAATTTCATCAGCATAGCCTCGCCTCAACAACAGTAACATTGACCTCAAGAAAATAAAGGAACTGGAATCTGTGGAGAGCCATGATCGTCTACGTTCTGAGAACACATGCCATTTATAACTTAGCCTCGACTTGAATAAACCAATGGGTATGATTAAAATTAGATTAGTTCATACCTCGACGTATAACATAGCCTAACTAAACTATACACTCTAAGGCCCGTTTATTCCCAGTTTTCATCAACTTTTTTTCTTAACTTGAAAGTTATGGTGATTTTCTAAGCGTAGCTTAGATGTGACACAAGGCCGAAAGTATGGAGCAACCCAGTGAGGATCAAACTCACTATTCAGCTGTAAATGATATAGCTAGATAAGCCTGTTAACCATTACAATACGTTGAAATACCTTGAGAATGTTATGTGATAGGTCCTGTTTATAAACTGATAATAAGGTTATTTTTTAAACTATTGTTCAGCCAACACATGGCCCAAAAGCCACTTAGGGTAGAGAGTTACTGAATGTGATTGTTGTAAGGACGTAAGAGGAAGAGGATATATAGGCTAGATAACGGTTGACCTTAGACTTGAAAAAGTTAAGATTGTAGTGGTCGGGGAAGCATCCTCTAGGGAGTCAGTTCCAAAAAACGACAGTACTGGAGAAGAAGCTGTCTTGAGTGCAACTTCCTCTTTACCAATGGAATACGAAGGAAATGAGGTTGATTTCATTCCGTGTACGTGGCATGACTTGTCCTAACTATGAAAAGTAAGGAATGTAGCTTCAAACAAGGCGATGATACCACTAAGACGCAAATGGCATCTGTGAGTGAAAGAGAATGAAAAGACCTTTGTAGTAACCGGAAAACCAACCCTAAACAAGAAACAAGGGATAAACCTCTACTCCTGTTCAAAAGACCGAGGAGGTTTGTGAATAGGCGAATCTGTCTACTCCGAATTTTAACAGTCAAAATCTCTCTGTTTACATTTTATTGTACTTTTCCAGCTGTCGAAGATTAATTGCGCGTGAGTGCATATAACGAGGCTCTCCAATTTACAATTCTGAGCCGTTATCCATTACACCACTCACACACAAAAGCTTACAGCACTTGTTATCACCAACTGGTCACTCATACAGGTACTGAGCAGGCTCTACGTCGCTTAACTTCGGAGATCGTACAAGGGCCAGTTTTTTTTTTTACAATGTGATATGACCGTAAGCCTCTTGACTCTATAAACACACCCACAATTTAAAATAGAAAACGCCAACTAGAATTCCAGTCACTTTCCTTTCGCGGGATACGGAATAAACGCTATTACTACGAAAGCATTGCACAACGACATCTTAAACAGACAATCATGAAAAGAAATGAACAACATATAACAACAAAGCCCCTAGAAATGCCTAAAGAAGTGACCGACATCGCTAAGGACAATAAACACTACAGACAATTTATAGACTCCCTTACAGCCACCAAGCAAACAGCCACTAAGAAAATAAGAAAATTAAAAAAACAAAATAAAATTCATCAATGTTCCTTTGTCTGTCATGTTCAACGAAAAATGTTTGAAAGAAACATTTCTGCCCATATATATATATATATATATATATATATATATATATATATATATATATATATATATATATATATATGTATGTGTGTGTGTAGGTATGTAGAAAAAATAGGAAAGAACACGTTAGGTAAATAATCCAGAGTTCTTTTTAGTATTTTTGTTTTTATTTAAAAAAAACAGTGCTCCATACAGAAGTAGAGATTATAATTATTTTTAAAAAAATATGATTCCTTCGCTACATAAGATTTCTCATGTTTCAAAAACGAGAGCCGAAGCCCTCAATATAATTATTTTCCTTTCTTATGTAGCGAAGGAATCATATTTAAAAAAAAAATAATTATATATATATATATATATATATATATATATAATGTAAAAAGCTATAAGATAGATAAATCAAACGGCCAGAGACATAAGCAAGGTTATATGCCCGTGCTGGTGTGCATACACGGGCAAGCAAATAAATAATCGTCAAGATTATACAGGAGGTGTAAGCATAATAGTGCTCCGTGTGGTTACGCAGAGCAAAGATATATTGTATATGTTTATTAGTACATATACATGTACCTACGTTTTGGTGTGCGACTCAAAGTAAACAAATTTGTTTACGTTTAACAACATACATCTTGTACCCGATGAGCTGGTAAACCAGCGAAACTTTGGTCGCACACCAAAACGTAGTGTAGTGTATTACATATATATATATATATATATATATATATATATATATATATATATATATATATATATATGAGGGAGGCACGGCGGAGCAGTGGATAACGGCTTGGATTGAGGAATTACATTCACTTACGTGCTAATACCCTTGGGAAAGGTATGTATCCTCTTCATCTCCCTCCAGCTATGGGTAAAATAGCAGGACAGACTAGGTTCTATAGCCTGGGATGGCAACTGGTCTAGGAGAAGGACAACTCTGAATTCAAAACCTGCGGAGGGTCGTTTGGGAACCTTGTGGCATGCATTCGGTGCACCAGGTTTCTGTATTCGTCCCTCCAAAAAGTGTGGCTGGTCCTGCACGAGGCCTGCACCACTATAATCAAATCTCATGTGCCGGTGTCGGGATGTCGGTTTCCTGGGGACTTATCGGCCTGACCTCATACGTCGAACGCGACAGGGGATTATATATATATATATATATATATATATATATATATATATATATATATATGAAAGAGAGAAAGAAGAGATAGATTTGGATATTTAATTCGACATTTATATTACATCAAACGTTATTATAGTGGATACGCGTATGAAAATGTGGAGTGTTTATTTGAAATACAAATATTCATTAATAATTACACTTGAAGTTTTACACACACACACACACAGATATATATATATATATATATATATATATATATATATATATATATATATATATATATATATCTTTAACCGCCACCTTCACCCTCCCTGTTTAATTAAAAATTACACTACCCATCAATTTCTAATCACATTTTTCCCTCTCTTTTCATTGTTGGAAGTGTTACCTGATGATCCGAAATCCTTTAAAAAGGATTTTGGTGAAATAAATTATTGTAATGGTACCTT